ATGAATCGTCAATCAATCAAAAATAAATTTTTGTAAACTAATTGTTTTTAAACATAAATATTTACAGACAATTGTTGATGAAAAAAAAAAAACAAAAACAAACTCACTTGCTCTGGGTACATATTTTATAAAAGACAGGGTAAAATACCAAGAAGAAACGGCACTAATCTGTCATACTTTCATAAATATAACAGTTTTAGTTTTATTCGACCATCTTCATAGTGATTTTTACCAGCAACATTATTCCCTGTGATGAAATTTTCAATAACACCTCTTCTTCTACAATCACGTGACCCGAATATTTTAAACATTACTTTGAAGATGAGAGTAGAAAAAACTAGATAAGGCATGAAGCTCTAAAGAGTTGAGTGCTTAATATGATGAAGGAGCTTGTAGTTCGTCTACATAAAAAAGTATCTAAAATATATTATTAATTGAAATTGCCAGGAATTGACAACAAGTGCAACGCCTATTTTAGACTGCAATAATAACCCAGGAACAGTATGATGTCGCAGGTGACGCCATTCTTCTCCGACTGTATATCGTCAACCATTGTGAAGTATGTAAAACTTATGATTCTCAATAGCTTACGAGCATTTGGGATCTGTTACGCGATGGTCATAGGTAGTTTTTTTTATTTCTTTTGATTTCCCAACAAGTTTAACGACGTTGTTATAAGCAAACGTTTCGTGAGACAAACCTGATATTTTGCAACAATTAATTCCAGCAGCAAAAAACCTAGTCAAACTGAATTTAAATAGTACGGAGATATGAAGCAGAAAAAGCATATTTTGAGAAAGCTCAATATTGGATGAGTTAGTGATGATGAAAAATTTGAACATACTGTTGGAGATAAGAAAGTTACAATATCTCGGTCACGTTATAAGACGGGATAAATATGTGTTGCTACAAACCATAATGTAGGGAAAATAAAGGGAAAACGAAGTATTGGAAGAAGACGGATTTCCTGGCTCAACAACCTGAGAAAGTTGTACAACTGCAGTCCCATCGACTTGTTCAGAGCTGCAATCTCAAAAGTGAAAATAGCTGTGATGATTACCAACCTCCTTAGAGGAGACGGTACCTAAAGAAGAAGAGTTGGAGAAAATAGTATTATGATGATAATTGTTCAATAGATAAGCAAAGAAGGCCAGATGATGATGACGAGCTACAACGAATAGTTGTATATGGTAAAAATGCTAACAAATGGTCGATCAACTGAGACAATACCAAAAATATACGAAATTTCGAACAAAAATTATTATTTTGCGGATGTCTGGACCAAAGAGTGATGCTAAAACAATAAATTAACTACATGTAATTTTTTAACGGATCAAATTGTAAATACGCATACAATCGAAGAGAGCAAATAACTACAAAATATTTGTTCAAAGTACAGAGTGCTAGGTGTCATAAATTCAGAAAATTCATTATTGAGAAAACATCAGCTCACAACCTTCCAACAACATAGTCTTATCTGACAAAGGCTTACAATAGTGTACCTCTTTTAATGCTTTGGGTAGCAATGGAAAAACAAGAATGAACAAACAAAATATAAAAGCAGTACAACAGCTGTACAAAAATATGACGGTAAACATACTGGACACAAAATAACTAGAGAAAGTCCTATTAGTAAGGTCTAAAGCAAGGCTGCTGCATAGCACCTATACTGTTCAAAATAAGTATGAATCAGGCGACCTCAGTGTGGATAAAAAGTGTTGCAATATATTAGTACAACTAATATACAAAAAACTGAGTACTTAATTGCAGAAACCTAAAAATTAAAGTGGCAATTATATAATCAACTGAAACCTTCAAATACTTCTGAGTCTAAATAACATCAAAAGTAGGGAGTAACAAAGAAATATATACCAGTAAGATCAGCCACTAGACAGTTATACACTGCACCCCAAAATTAACGCATAATTTTAAAAACCCTGGTAAATTAAATAATTTTAATGTTTCGATTTTTGTGCTAATATATTATCGTTACCCCCGGTATATTGTAAAATGTATCGAAAGAACGGTAAAAAACGCTGATGTTTTTATCATTTTTTTGCAAAAAATTAAAAACATGCTAATTGTGCTTCATTTTATTTCGAATTTAGTTGGGTTGGATTTCGTTGTGCTGAACGTTTAAAGGGGTTTTTTCAAGTTTATTAAGTGTTTTTTCTTTGAAATGAACCACCCGCAGCAAGAAAATCGAAATTTGTCAGAAAGTGACTGTTTTAGAATCGTTACTCTTCGCGAAGAAGGATACACTCAAGAAGAACTCGCTGAACGTTTTAGCGTCACCCAGTCAACAATTTCAAGAGTGTTAACACGTTTTTCTGTTACTGAAAGTAACTCGAGAAGACCCGGTCAAGGCCGTAAAAGGGTTACAACTCCTAATCAAGACCGGTTTATGACACTTCGTACACTGAGACAAAGGTTTGTTTCCAGTACTTCTCTACAAAATGAATTTTTGGATCGTTATAACTTTAGAATCAGCCAAAATACAATTAGAAGAAGACTTGCCGAAAACGACCTACACCCTGGAAGGGCACCAATTGGCCCATTATTGACCAGAGACCATAGAAGGCAAAGATTGAATTTTGCTCGTGAACATGTTGATTGGAATAATGACGATTGGGGAAGAATATTGTTCACCGATGAATCCAGGTACTGTCTTTTTTCTGATGACAGGAGAAACCGAGTGTATAGAAGGCCTGGGGAACGCTACGCACAGTGTAACACCGTAGGGACTGTACAGTATGGCGGCGGCTCGGTAATGGTATGGGGTGAGATTAATTTAGAGGCTCGTACGGAATTAGTTAAAATAAATCACGGTCGGCTTACATCGCAGAGCTATATAACAGACATTTTAGAAGAGCATGTCGTGCCATTTGTACCATTTATTGGGGATAATTTCATGCTTATGCAAGATAATGCCAGGCCACACACGGCAAGAATTGTGCAGCAGTATCGTCAGGAGGTTGGAATTCATGCCATGGATTAGCCTGCGAGAAGTCCTGACCTTAACCCAATAGAACATGTTTGGGACATCATAGGCAGACCACTACGACAACTACCTAATGCACCAAACACATTAGATGAACTGTTTTTGCGGTTGGTTGAAATTTGGGATCAAATTGATCAAGAAGAAATCAGAACGATTATTCTCAGTATGAGAGATCGTTGTCAAGCAGTAATAAATGCCAGAGGAGGCAATACTCGATACTAGTATACGATAGTAGTATTTTCTTCAACTTTAAAAACTTTTTTTTCATTAATTTATGATGTTAGTTTGTTTAGATCAGTTCGTTTAGATGTTATGATTTATGTTAGGATGTTATATTGTTAATTTCAACACATTTTTTGTAAAAAAAGAATAGTTTTATTTAAGATGTTCTAAAACAACCATAAAGCAGGAAAGAACAAACAAATTTTTTTTCATTACAATTCAAAATAAGAATTTTAAAATTATGCGTTAATTTTGGAGCGCAGTGTAGTTGGACTAAAAAACATACAATAATAGAAAGTATTGGGTTGTATGGCGCCAAACTATAAGACTAATATATAAGCAAGATTTAGTGGAGGAAAACTAAAGAACATTAGGAGTACGAAAGTGAAAAATCAATGAAAAAAAAAAAGAATAGACAAATGGAAAATAATACTGGAACAAGCCAAAACCGACAGTAGGTTGCAAAGCCAAGAATGGTAATGACGATGATGTCGTTCGACAAAATGAGATGGAACAAGCAGAAAATATTTTGACAACTATGAAAGGGAAAAGAACTCTAATCAGATGAAGCGGAGATCTGAATAAATATGCTGGAACTAGATGGATCACGACATCATTGGATAGAGACCAGTTGGATGAATGTACACCTATACACAACTGTAAGAATAAAATACTCTCAACCATGAACGAAAAGAAGCAAGTTTGTGCAAAAATTTGAAATCATCCGTAAAGGTTTAAGTTGGATGTTTTTTTTAGGATTCTCCTTACACAACAAGAATACATAGAATGGATTCGTACAACTTCTGATAATAAAGCATCATCAGAAAAGACTGTATACAACTGTTGGTTTATTAGACTAATTAAGTTGGTAAAAAATAAATATTTTTTTAACACAATTATATAGACGGGTTTGACAGTTGAAATATGTAGGTAGTATGAAATATTACAAAAAGAATTTCATCTAGGGATTCATTCATTTTTAAGTTGAACTATTTTTAAATAAACAATTATAACGTCAAACTCATTATTTTGCTTATAACTTAAAAACTTATCTAGTTAGAAGATTTGTCGCCAAGCGTCCCTTCACATATCGCAGACTACATACAATCGATTTTTCATGAACATTTAGGTGTGAGAAAGATTTGTTCCACATAGACTCCGAAAAATTTGACGGAAGTGCACAAATGCTAGTATTAATTGGAGTCATCGCTCCATTACCTTTCCTTGTTCCCCACTGCCAAACAAAAGATGCAATGCCAGAGATTTTAATCACGTCAAGAAGCTGTTGAAGCCTTTCAAAACTGTTATAGGTTTTTTTGACCATATGTAAAAATGTATAAAACAACTTTGTTTAGAACTTGATCATTTCTCTCTTAGCTTCTATAAAAACTAGGCTCCAAAACTATTTTGTTAGGGTATATATCTCTTACCTACAATATGGAATGTCTTAATTTAAAATTGTAAGTTTAATTGTAAATTGTAGTTTATTCTACAACCATGGTACAACCTGAACTAATATAAAATATGGCTGATTTAAATTCTGATGAACAAAGCATGTTAAATGTTATAATTTAAACCTTTACAGTCATTAACCTAATTTCTTGATTTCTTAAAACTAAATACACTATTTGAGTATTAAAATACTATTAGGTTTAAGTGCTTAAAATTGTTTACATTCCAATGTCCAAGATGATACCAAATTGAACATATGAAATAGATAATAGTAATACCACAAATGCAATACAATCAAGTACATATAGTGTAAAAGCACGACATATTAAACTGAGTAATTTAACGAATTCCACGAAATTGACTTGAAGAAAGGATGTGACTTAATATTTTCAGTGCCATTTATACCACTACCCAATCTATCTTCGGATTGGTACGTCAATAGCTGAAACATAATAGTATGATTAATAAAAAGATTTAAATGCCTTAAACATATTACATACGGTGTTAATATGAATGAAGATAAAGCAAATTACATATATGAGGAATGACAGCCAATAAGGCAAACTATTGTTACGTTGTTCTGTGTATTGTCGACTTATTGTGGATATTGAGAATCTGAAGATTTGGAGAACAGCACCCAAAGCCTCTCAGAGTGCCTCTTGACGGCACTCAGGCATAGAAAGTGTACAGAATGTTACAAAATTTTAAGAAGAAGCACGACTAGTAGAGATGCCGGTAGCACAACATTTTTGACAAAAAATATTAGTGCGCATGTGTGTTTGGTGTGTGCGTCAAAAGTATACACGAGGAAAATGTCTCTGTGCGCCAAGTGTATACTTTTATATGCATTTAAGAGTGGAGTTACCACGTCTAACCTTGACGAAAATGTTGAGATCAGTAACTCAAGAACACGAGAACGTCAGTTGTAAAGAAATATTTGCAACGTGCTTTAACCCATAACTGGACAATGTGTATCTTAATACACACCTATTTTAGTTTTTTTTTTACAAAGTTTAAACCTCCAAATCTGCGTAGAGCTAGCAATGTGTATTTCGATACACCCCTGTTCTTTATACAGATAACTACACTGTTGCAATTTTTATATTTGGCGGGAATAAATTTGTCAACTATTATAGGTTAGTTCTGTAACGACCGTTTGCCGGGTTCAATTTACCAATTTTTCTCAAGATAAAGGTAGTTTTTGTGGTGACTTGTAAAGTTATTTTAATTCTGTGAATAAAATCGAATAAGGTAATCCTTTAGTAATATGTCAATAGTTTCGTAAATTAGATGTTTGGTAAAATGTGAGCTTCGCCTAAAAAACATGTGTATCTAAATTTACATCGCCAATAACACGAACAATAATAAATGTAAATTTGAATACACACTGCCCGTTTGAGACCATTTAAATAAGAACGATGAGTAGCAGGTATCCAGGGTAGTACTCGCTGAATTGTTAACTGTATAAAAGTAATTTATTTTGTGATTTTTTTCAAATATATTCCAATAAGTTTTAATAACGGGCGTTGGGTATTAGTTTCAAGTTCGTCTTTGTTTCAGATTATGATGTCCAACAGAACAAAGAGAATATTACAATTAGCAACTCAACAAATAAATGATGATGAGGATTGTGAGTATAATATATTAGTTCCCAATAGAAATATTGACTCCCATATTGAAAGTGATAATGAAGAATATATTATGTTACCGCCCGCCCCTTTAGCATATCCTGTAATAAAGGGTGTTGATGAAGATGAATTAGAAAAATTCATCTAAGTTTACTATTTTATCGAATGTATTGCTCGAAAACGAGGATATCTTGGAAAACGAAGCAAACAATGAAGAAGTAGAAAATTCAGAACGTGCTCAAAACAACGAGCTAGATGAGCATATTGGGTATGTTGTAGATGAAACCTTAGCAGATGAGCTTGATGATACACCTCTCAATTTAAAGAAGAACAAACAACAACAAAAAGTTCAAAAGAAAAACAAATCCAAGAAAGAAAAAATATAAAACTGGACAGAGGAACCTTTTGGTTACCTGGTAGATATTGATGAGGATAATTTTCAAGTTCCAGACGAGATTTTATCTCCAATTGATTACTTTAAAATGTTCTTTGATGATGCGTTATTGGAAATGATAACATATCAAAGTAACCTTTATTCTGAACAACGTTCTGGTACCTTAATCAATATGAACAAAAACGAATTGACGGATTTTTTGGCAATTGAGCTGTCAATGGGAATTGTAAAGATGCCAGCTTACACAGATTATTGGAGTGTTCAATTTAGATATGACAAAATAGCTGACATAATGCCACTGAAAAAATATCAAGAAATACGTCGTTATCTACATTTCGTCGATAATAATTCTATTAGTGACGGCCGCTGTTATAAAATTAGACCTGTGATGGATCATGTACGACGAAATGATGGTTCCCTACAAAGGAAAAAAGCTGGTTCTAGGCGCCAATATATCAAAAATAAGCCTAAGAAATGGGGCTTCAAATTGTTTTTTGCGTTGCGGAATCTCAGGAATCGTCTACGATTTCATACCTTATGGCGGCGATGATACATTTCGAGATATCGCATTTGATGAACAAGAAGAGACTTTTGGAATGAGTGAGCACGTAATTATAGCTCTTAGTAAAACTATTTCAAATCCGATATGTAGTATTTTGTATATTGATAACTTTTTTTGTTCTCCTGATCTTGTATCCTATTTACGTGATGTTAAAGGAATACTTTCACTTGGCACTTTACGCATAAATAGAATGAGGCATTGTCCCATTAAGGGTGAAAAGGAACTTCGAACTGAAGTTAGAGGTTCTTATTTTCAAATGGTCGATAATGACCAGAGGGTAGCAATTGTTCAGTGGTTCGACAATAGAGTAGTACGACTATGCAGTTCATACGTGGATGCATATCCGCATATCTTCCATTAAAAGGTTTGTCAAAACAAAATCAAACACAAAAACAGACATAACGTGCCCAAAAATAGTTAAACAGTATAATCGGCATATGGGTGGAGTCGATCTCGCCGGTATGTTTGCATCCCTCACTGAAAACCCACAGATGGTATATATCAATATTTTCACAAATCTTGGATACTTGTGTAAATAATGCTTGGATTCTATATAAAAAAATGCTACTGCTAAACCCGGAGAAAAGAACAAAAACTTTAAAACAATTTCGTTATTCCATAATCGACAGCTTGCTCCGTAAAAATAAAAAACGTGGAAGACCTTCAAGTGAGGACATCGCTGTTCCAAAAAAAAAGAATAAAAACCATGTTTAAACCCCAGTCAGAAGATGATATAAGATTTGATAATTTCGGACACCTTCCACAATTTTCCACAAAGGGCCGATGCCGCAATTGTGTAAATACCCAAACACATATAAAATGTACCAAATGTGACGCACGTCTTTGTTTTCTGTCAAAACGAAATTGTTTTTACGATTTTCATATGAGCAAGTAATCATTGTAATATTTTTGTTAGCAAAATAAATCAGTACAGCCCTGGGTGTTCTCTCATTTTTCCACCTAATATTGATTTAAAACACAAGTACTCAAATTGGTAATGTGTATTGTAATACACAAAAATATTGTTTTATGGATTCTTCGTGTTGTGCATTCAGATACACACGTACAAATCAACGTCTAAATTTGTTAAAAAAAAGTTTATTGATTGAAAATGTATTAATTGATGACCCACTTCAACAAATAATGTCAGAAAAAATTTTTATTTCGCATATTTAATGTTTTGCCAAGTTAAGGGTTAATACATTAATTATTGGGCATAATGCCTTACAAAAAAGAACAACGGAGATTGCAGAGTTTATGGAATGATACCGAGGATTCATATCACAAAGAAAAGAATGTGAATAGTCGAGATATACGGGTTATTGTCAATCTGTACTGGAATCAAAAAGCAAAGGTTAGAATCGAAAATGTCGATACAGAAACAACAGAAATCAAAAGGGGTGTTAGACAGGATTGCGTGCTGTCCCCATTGTTATTCAACTGTACAGCGAAGCTATTTTTAAGGAAGCAATATCAGAGGAACAACAGGGTATATCAATAAACAACATAAGATTCGCAGACGACACCGCTGTTTTTGCAGATAGTCTAGAAGCATTGCAACGCTTAGTACATACATTACATCAACTCAGTATGAAATATGGACTACAAATGAACGTTAAGAAAACCAGGTTCATGATTATTTCTAAGCAACATACAGTAGGAAGGCTAGATATCGAGGAAAAAGAAGTAGAAAGAGCGAATAACTACAAATATCTGGGAACCTGGGTAAATGAAAACAATGACCAAGGTAGAGAAATAAGGACACGCATTGAAATTGCAAGACAAGCATTTATAAAAATGAAAACAATGTTTGTCAATCCAGACCTTCCTCTGGATCTGTGGATAAGAGCCCTAAGATGCTACGTGTTCTCGACTTTGTTGTATGGAATGGAAAGCTGGACACTAAAAGCGGATAATATAAAGAAGTTGGAATCATTTGAGATGTGGTGCTACAGAAGGATTTTGAAAATACCATGGATCCAACGAGTTACAAATACAGAAGTGTTAAGAAGATTACAAAACGACTGCGAGGTCATAAAGTACATCAAAACAAGAAAGCTAGAATATTTAGGCCACATTACCAGAGGTGCGAAATATGAGATATTAAGGCTCATAATGCAAGGCAAAATCAAGGGTAAAAGATCCATAGGAAGACGAAGAATTTGCTGGCTGATAAACCTAAGAGCTGTGATGATAGCCTCCGATAGGAGAAGGAACTACAAGAAGAGGAAGAGAGTGTGGAAGACTATTGTTGACTATATTTCTAAATTAGAGTCAGATAATCCTCAACTAAGTCAGGTAAATGAGTGTTTTTTTAACTTATGGAATTCAGGCATAAACAAATGGCAATACATTAAATTTTTTGGCAGCGAATATATTGGATCCTTAGTTAATTGGTGTTCATTTAAGCAGAGAAGAACAAATAGGGGGAACTGAGTTTATAGAAAATTTAGTCACTTTAAGATATGGTGATGACTCGGCTGAAATAATGGCAGATCTGGCACTTTATTATTCTAAGGAGGGAGTTTTTGGAAAACCATGTGTCGTAAAACCAATTGAAAAACTAGACCCAATCATATGGTGCAAAGGTACATGTTTCGGAACAAAATTAACTAAAATAGCAGTGGAAATATTAAGCATGCCTTCATCCAGTGCAGCGACTGAAAGAAGTTTCAGTACTTATGGTTTTATCCACTCCTCTAAAAGAAACCGGCTTACTGCTGAACGGGATGGTAAGCTAACTTTTGTTGCTTACAATTTAAAATTGTTATACGTAGACCAAACAATGACTAAGCTGGCAACTCGTGAAAAACAAATTCCCACAACTTCTCATCAGTACATTGAAATGCAGAATGTAGATGACCAAGATGAGCTAATGATAGAAATAGATTCTGAATCTGAGGCCTCATCTTTTTCAGATTAGATCACCACATAAACTATTTACTGTTAAGGAGAACATTTTTTTATCATATAAATTTTATGTTTCCTGTTGTTTTTGTATTTTTTTATATATAAAGAACACTGTTGTTTCGTTTCATAATTTTGTATATAATTTCAGGACCCTTACTACCCTATTTTTCCCAGGGCTAAATGGGCTTGGGCCGGACATGTTACCAGATTAACGGATGACAGATGGACCAAAAAGATTCTGGAATGGCGACCAAGGCAAGATGCATGTCGAAGCAGAGGACGACCACCGACTAGATGGACGGATGATATTAAGCGCATCACCACAAACTGGATGTTAGAAGCTCAAGACAGAAATAGGTGGAAAATTTTACGGGAGGCCTAAGTTCAGCAGTGGACAAACATAGGCTAATTGATGATGATTATGAATACCCTATTTCATCTTTAACAATATACCTAAGCTTGTCATAGGGTTCATTCTCAGAAAATTCTCTATGTCGAGAATATTCTCCTATTTTTCATTCTCGGGAATTTTCCAACAACAGAAGTGTCACATACCGTTTTTTGTTTATTGATTTGATAATTTCCCGTAAAATTTATTTCCACGGATTTTAACAGTTCCCTGACTGGGCAACTCATATAAAGCTACACAGAGTGTAAAAGCTAATTATCCAGTTCTAAATTTTAATAGAATACATACATACTTTTGGTATCCCAAAAAGAAAAAACGTAACTAAATAAGTTAAAGTAAACTAAGAGTTACTTACCTGTTTAAGAATCGATCTTCCCTCTGGAGAAACATATCGAGGAATTTTTATGAAAGTACTGCTGGTTAGACCATTCAAATGAATTTCTGAAAATGGCTAAAACGGAATAAAGAAATATGTTAATTTTGCTCAGATCTAGACATGTTAAAACTCGTATTAAAACGATACACAAAATATAGTTCATCGTTAGTCCGAGTGTCGGAGAGTTGCAGGGTTGTGATTTGCTGTCTGCAGACTTATATGCGTCTTTTCAGAAGACGATAATTGGTCTAGTTGGTCACACTAATCATACTACATAATTAATAATAAATTGTAGATATCATAACTCCATTATTACAGTGTTATTACAGTGACAAATAGAATTAGGTTTTCAATATGTATATTACGGGTTTTACAGCATTCACTGCGATAATTGTATCTTTCTTCTTGACGTAGGGTAAATCGAACTTGTGCCGTTGGGAACTTCAACTCGTAACCAGCGCATGGCGTTCACGTGATAATTCTATCTATTCGGCGGCCCAACTATAGTAACCTACTTATCATTATACTCTGTACTTTTTGCAATGTGGAATACTACAGTGGAATAGTTTTAACAGTATTTCTGACGTATCAACTCGTATTCATGTAAATGCTTCTAAACAACAGTTTCGCCTCAACCGCTTGATAAAGCGTCTGGATCCGTCCTTTGAGGATTGAACAAAATATTTTCCACATAAGCGCAGAACAACAGTTAACTGCTTGGATGTTCTACGGTGAAGAAAAACCAACAAAAGTCATGAAACATTCAAGATCCGAGAATCCAAGTTTCTCAACAATGCGAAAAAGAAATAAAACTTTAAATCATTCTGCATCAAATCAATTAACAAACGCTTTTTAACAATTGAACCACTGAAATCGTAGAATTCATGTCTTTCTTATTTTCCGTATACAACTGCCTTCCGTATACACGTTCTAATGACATTGATGTTCTCTAAAGTCAAAAATCGATTTCATGGTCAAACGATTTTCACTACAAGATGAAGAATTTAAAAAGAAAATGTTGCTTATACAATACTCCTGCTGAAAAAATGTTTGCACAATTAGATAACTTGTATGAAAAGTGTTGCGATATAAATATAACGACGAAAATTAAAAACAAAACATTTTATTAATTGTAAATATTTGTATAATTTTTATAACTCGAAATTAAAGCAACTCGTAAATGTAGTAAACCGTAGTCAAGTTTACAAACAAGATTCGAGCAATATTTAAATTTTGGTAGTAGCAAAAACTATTGACATTAATAGTAGCTAAATATAAATTTATAAACGAAGAATAGTTGGTTAAAACTTCTTAACCAAAACAAACATACATAGAACAATTTAATAAAATAAAATAGTGTTTAACTTATACTTACAATGCCCACAAGAAGTTCATATAGGATAGTTCCATAACTGAACCAATCTGCTGAGTTTGCTACTGGGGTAAAACTGTAAACTTCTGGTGCAAGATTGTAATTTATATTAACAGCAAATAGATCCCCTAGTTCTTTATTATTACACATATAGGTCAAAATTAAGTCTCCTGCATCATTTATGAGTAAATTTTTCATTTCGAGATCTCTAAAATTACAAGAATTATTAAATATTACTCTAGTGTAATGTAAAACTGTGAAGTGCGCCAAAAATTATTTATTTGTAGTTTAAACTATTATTATCGGGAGGACAATTCAGTGATAAGTAATAATTGAATCAAATACGAGTTATTATGGACGTTATTAATGTAATTTCTTTTAATAACGAGCCTGGTACAAATTGCGGCTTGAATTTTATAAGAATTTGTGTAGGGGGCGAGTAAGGAAAATAAAATTGTTGAGTTATGGTCCAAAAAAACTCTTCTTCCAAAATTTCCGTCTAAAAATAGCGTAACTGTTATGTTCTTAACACTGCTTGGAACAAATTACCATTTCAAAAATTTCTATTTGAAGAAAATATCTATTTTATAGATTCTTAGAGTATATATTAACAATCTAAAAGAAAACTCAGATAACTACCAAAAGACAATTGATGAAAGATTACATCATGACCAAATCGGCAGCTCTCAATTAATGGAAATCATCCTTGACAGTGCCAAAGAAATCGGAGGCCCGCAACAACAAAATGAATATAATAAGCTGTCTGATAAAACCGAAATAATGTTAAAACAAAGAAGAGATGTGAAAGTAAGTAGCAACAAACGAATACAATATACAGAAAAAAGTGTATGACAATACGGAAAAGTATTAAGGAAGACATACGACAATACAGTGAAAGACTAGTAGAAAATACAATCGAAAAGAGAAAAACTATAAGAAAACAAGAAAATCATAAATGATTGGGAAGAGGCAAATCGTTGCTCCAACAAACGAAAACACCAGAATTATAGGAAGAAATGAAATAGTACAACTTATGACAAAATTCACTTGGACTTGAAGACATGTTCAAAAACAGATGTTCTGATTAACTGGGCAGATAAGGGAGTAAATGTTAATGAAAGAAAACTGAGAATTTAAGATACGCTGATGACATTGTAATATTCGCTACAAGCTTCAAAGAACTACAGACCATGATGACGTAACTATTTCAAGCTTCGGAAAAAGTAGGTCTTAAGATAAACTTGGAAAAAACAAAAATAATGACAAATACACCGAATATTACAGAAATAACGTTGAATGACATACATTTAGAAACAGTAAGCGAATATAATCTACCTGGGACAGATAAAGAAAATTAACAAAAAAAAACAAACTGCCGAAATTACCAGAAGAATAAGGTTAGCGTGGGCAGGATTTGAAAACCAGAATTTACAATCAGTGTATCCTCCATATACTCAGGTATGGTTCACAGACGTGGACACTCAATGGATAAAATATTAAAAGCACAAAGAGCGATGGAAAGATCAATGCTCGCAGTAAGACTTATAGACAAAAAAATAACAAACAAATGGATAAGAAGCAAAACTAAAGTAAAAGACGCAGGAGAACATGCTGCCAAATTAAAATGAAGCTTCGCAGGACACAATGCCTGACTAAAGGATAAGAGATGGAATCACGAAAGAAAACAATGGAGGCCATCGTTAGGAAAGAGAAGCAGAGAAAGACCACAAATGAGATGGGCTGATGACATTAAGACGATCGGAGGACACAAACTGGAAGCAAGCGGCGCAAAATAGAAGACACTGGAATCCAAAAAGTTGGATTACATAAGGCTGAAGAGGAAGAAGAATGACAAAATTCTACAGCGAACTATACAAAACCCCTGAAACACTCAAAAAGAAGCAAGCAATCAGTAACCTACAAGATGTACCAGAAGTCGTTCTAGAAGAAGTAGAATCGACAATTACAAAAATGAAAAGCGGTGAAACAACTGGGATAGATAACATAATAGTGGAACTGCCTAAATACGCTGGCAAAAAACCTGGCAAATCTTAGCAGACATATATACGAACTGCCTCAGATCAAGATGCATACCAGACGACTGGAATATAGCAAACATAATTCTCATTCATAAGAAAGGTAGCAAAGAGGATGTCAAAAACTGCAGGCCTATAAGTCTACTGCATAAGTCTACTACATATAATGCCGAAGAATCACTCCCAAATATATGTGAAACCTTTAACAAGATCAGAGAAGAACATCTAATAGAAAAGAAAGATAAGAAAAAAAGTTGGATGAATGACAATATACTGCAACTTATGGAAGAAAGAAGAAAATCAAAGAACAAAAAAATAATGTACAACAAAGATTCACAGACAAATAAGAACCGAAATACGAAAGGCCAAAGAAAATTGGTTAAAATCACAGTGTGAAGAGATAGAGTTGTTAAAACAAAAATATGATACGTTTAACATACATAAAAAGGTGAAACAAGCAGCTGGTCTTCAGAAATCCAACACAGCTAACAAACTGCGAGACCAACAGGGGAATATCATCACAGACAAAAATCAAGAAATCCGCATATGGACAAAATACATACAAGAACTCTTTGATGATACTAGATCCGAAAAACCTCCATCCTACAATATGTGATGACCACTTACCAATCACATCAGATGAAGTACAAAAAGCCATATTACAACTAAAAGATGGCAAAGCTTCTGGACCTGACAATGCATATTCAGCATATCAGTTCATAAAACTAGTTAACACCGACGGTATTCAACAACTAACAAAAGTATTTAATGACATATATTTAAGCGGAGTAATACCAAGAACATGACTGAAGTCGACCTTTATTGCTTTACCAAAAGGATATATAGACTGTGCGAAGAAAAAATCAGCCGTACACAGTTTGGTTTTCGGAATGCAGTGGGTACAAGAGAGGCTCTCTTTAGTATACAAGTGCTATTTCAACGATGTAGAGACGTGAACTGCGACATTTATGCGTGCTTCATTGACTACCATAAAGCGTTCGATACAGTAAAGTACGACAAGCTGATGGAGATATTAACCAATATTGGAATAAACACCTGTGATTTAAGAATTGTCAGCAATCTGTACTGGAATCAAACATCATCTATCCGGACAGAGGCAGGAGAATCCGACGATATCAAAATCAAACGTGGCGTCCGTCAGGGATGTATACTATCACCACTGTTGTTTAACATATACTCTGAGGAAATCTTTCAAGAAGCAGTGGGTGATGTTGAAGCCGGAATTTGAATCAACGGAGAATCTATCAATAACATTAGATACGCGGACGACATGGTAGTATTCGCTGACAGTTCTGAAACCCTCCAGGACTTAATGAACAGAATCACAGAGGTCAGTCAGAGATACGGACTTTCACTAAACACTAAGAAAACAAAATGCATGATGATCTCTAAGAAGGAACAGCAATTTGGACAAATCAGTGTAAACGGTCAACCAATAGAAAGAGTAAAAACATACACCTACCTTGGTACGAACGTCAATGAAAACTGGGACCATTCCATAGAAATCAAATGTAGAATAGAGAAAGCAAGATCTGCATTTCAAAAAATGGCTAAGTTATTCAAAAGTCATGATTTATCAATGCCCATAAATATCAGGTTACTATGATGTTACATCTTTCCTATACTGTTGTACGGAGTTGAGTCATGGACTCTCACAGAGGCCACTTGCAAGAAAATTGGGGCTTTTGAAATGTGGCTTTATCGTCGCATCCTGAAGATATCATATACCGACCACGTTACTAATGAGGGTGTTCTGTTGAGAATGAAAAAAGAAAAAGAGCTTTTAACCACAATAAAAACAGAATCGAATACCTCGGTCACATCATGAGGAGCAGCGAAAGATATGGACTGCAGCAACTAATCTTGCAGGGAAAAGTAGAAGGAAAACGGGGACCAGGAAGGCGAAGGATTTCCTGGCTGAAAAATCTACGAACGTGGTTCAACACAACAACCACAAATCTTTTTAGAGCAGCAGTGTACAAAGTGCAGATTGCCATGATGGTCGCCAACATCCGAAATGGATAGGCACTACAAGAAGAAGATAAGTCTACTACCAATCATACACAACAGATTAACAAATGCATTAAATGCTGCATAACCAAGAGAGTAGGCTGGCTTCAGAAGTGGATTCAGTATCCTGGATCATATCCATCCGCTTCGAGAACTAATGAGTAGAGCTAAAGAATATGAAATACCGCTAGCATTAACCTTCATACATCATCAACTTCATAGCCGAGAAGGCTGTCGATTCTATATATCCCGAGGCAGTAATAGAAGCTTTGGCCAACGAAGACCAAAAATATACAGATAAGCAAAAGGTAAAAACACCACAGAATTTCTCACTACTAGAGGCACCCGACAAGGAGACGCAACGTCACCACAGCTCTTCACTGCAACTCTAGAAAATATCTTCAGCAAAACGATCTGGCACAACAAAGGCCTATCCATTGATGAAGAATACTTCAGTCATCTAAGATTTGCAGACGACATCGTTCTGATTGCTAATAACCCTGAACGCTACGTTTACAACAGTAGATGAGTCTGTATACCTGTGACAATTAATACGTAAATCGGGCTCCTTACTCTCAGATATCAACAGAAGACTGAAACTGGCTTGGGCATCTTTTGGTAGAAATGCAGATATATTCAAATCAAATATGCCACTCCATCCAAAGAAAAAAGCATTCGATCAGTGCATACTACCCACTATGCAGTAGGCTGCGAAACTTGGAGAATAATGAAAGAGATAATAGCAAAACTCGAAGTCACTCAAAGGTCAATGTAGCGATGCATGCTAGGTATAACAAAGAGAGATCGAAAAAGAAGAGAGAATAGAATGGATCATACAGAAAACCAAGGTCACTGGAGCAATATCAACAGAATTAAATCTTTAAAATGACAGTGGGCGGGAAATTCAGCGACAAGAACTCACAATAGATGGTCCACTAGGTCTTTTTCAAAAAGTATTATTAACAAGAATGTGAAAGTTGCTTGTGTAAAAGTACACAGTTAAACATCACAATTAAAATATTGCTAAAAACATAAGACACACCAACTAAGTCATTGCACGTCAAATATGTTCTTTAAGAGAATGGGGTAACAGTAATTATAAAACTAAGAGAAAATATTAGTATATCAAAACCTACCTGCATATAATACCCAATGTATGTAACTTATCTAAAGCAAGCAAAAGCTGAGCTGCCCATTTAATCACAACTTTCTCTGAGACAACTACTCTATCTCTAAAACAGTCCGTATCAAAACTTGAAACTTGACTTCTTTGGCTACTAGTTGTACTTTGTTTCCTACTAATAATACTTGTGTCAAAATCCATCTCTTTTCGTTTAGTGTATTTTTGGTGAAAAATTTGTTCGTTGAGGGTTGCATCACTGAAGGATTGCGGTGCAGCGTCTTTCCAAATTTGGTCAGAAATCATTTTGTCTCTAGCGCTGTCTTCCAGATCAAGTTTTTCAAAGCTGCCATCGCTACTAAGATCATCTTTGTCTGCACTAATTTCGTCCTTATTGAACATATTTTGACTAGAAGATCGATTCGGCATTCTACTGTTGTGATACTCAGTGACAAGTTCAGAAAAACTAGCTTCGGATTCGTTGTCCGATTCCTCGTGAAATTGACTTGTCAAGACTTCGGCGGTTTTATTAAAAGTTGGATCATCAACTTGTCGTTTAAGATACTCTGATAACTTCATGCCACTGAAAGAAAATTGAGAACTTTATTCCATATTGTTTACTATGTGTGCGAAATAATATTTACAAAATACTCAAACGTCTAAATATTAAAATGAAAGCCGGATCGGCCTAGCCTAAGGGCTTGCGGCTAAGTGATACTCCTCCATAGATCCTACCGGAAGGGCGTGGCGCCTAATATATATATATATATATATATATATATATATATATATATATATATATATATATATATATATAAGAGTAAGAAAAAAAAAAAAAAAGAAGTACTTGTGACTCGTTTGGAAAAAATATAACACTGTTTTTGATGGGTTGGAGTCAATAAAAGGGGCTATTTGTTGACTATTTTTTACTCGAGCTTTCAATTGTGATTACAATTTTTATCAAGAGCTTCTAAAAAATACAAAATGTCTTACAAAGTTGAACTAGAAATAAAAAAATTTTTGTTAACTCACCAAATAAAATTAGTTTTTTATATAAAACTACTGCTTACATAATAAATACAAAAAATATTAATAAAAAAATGTCTTATTCTAACAAATGTTTCTCTGAAAAATTTAGATGAATTTTCTTAAGAAAAAAAATTGAAATTATAAACAAATATAGAATAGCTACAACCAGCCTAAAACGTCATAAATACTAACTTAAAAATTCTTATTTTTGACATATTGTCAAAAATAAAATTTTGTTTAAAAAATTCTTCTTTGTTTAGTAACAAAAAAGAAGAAGATTTATTCACCATTGATAGATGCCCGGAAAAATGTAACAAATAAATGGAAAATTCAAAATGTGATATTTTACTGACTGCATAAATTAAATAGAAATTATATAATTATAAATTTTGCTTAAATTTTGAATTTCTGACCTTTTGTTTAAATTATTATCACTTTTGCTAATACAAACCATTTCCAAAAAAGTTCTTTTAAATTTATTACTTTCATTACATAAAATTTTAATATTATCAAAATCCATAATATGGTCTTTGTCTATTACATGCTCTGCCAAAGCACAAGATGGTTTCTTAATTCTACAATCACTCTTGTGAGAAATAATGCGATTAGAGAGATTTCTTCCAGTCTCACCAATATACTCAGCTTCACACTGAGTACAAACAATGCTGTATACTACATTTGTTTGATCTAATTTGTCTATAGGATATTTAGTTTTGGAATATAAAGATGAAATAGTTTGATGTTCTTTGTTGCTATTTTTATATTGTCAATAACCTTTAATGTTTGTATTAATTTAGGAGTTAATGATGGTATAAAAGGTAGTGAATGATAATATATGTTTTGATTGTTGGATACAGTGTTTTGAGATTTAGCAAAAAATGGTGTTAAGTTATTTATATTTAATAAATTAGAAAAAAGCATCCTATGTAGCATATCAGGAGGATAAGAGTTTTCAATTAAAATATTTTTTAACAAATGAAGATCTTCTTGTAAGTAGTCTGGATGAGAAAGTTTTAAAACACGTTCCTTTAATCCTGTTATAAGGTTCATTTTCATTTTATTTGGATGATTAGAGTAATAGCTTATAAATCTATTACTACATATGGGTTTTCTGAACCATCTAGTTTTCAACATATTGTCTGTATTTCTTACAATTCTCATGTCAAGGAATGGTAGAGAATTATCTACCTCTTCCTCAACTGTAAATTGTATATGTTGATTATGATTGTTGAAAATGTTGACTGTTTCAAGAATTTTGTGTTTAGGAAGTGCCAAAACTAGATCATCTACATATCTTTTGATAAATGGAATGAAAAAAGTGCAATTATTGATACACTCACTAATAACATCATCCATGACATAGCTACTTAGAATGGGTGAAAGACTAGATCCCATAGGGCTACCAAAAATTTGTTTATAAAAAACACCATTAAATATAAAAATATTAGAATCAAAAACAAAGTTGATGAGTGTTTTAAAATGTAATAAGTCAATATTAGTATGTTGCGAAATCTCATTCCAATGTTTTTCAACACTACTTATGATTAAATTTAAAGGTAAATTAGTAAAAAGAGATGTTACATCAAAACTAACTAAAACATAATTTTGTGGTAATTGGAAATTATTAATGAAAGAACTAAAATCAAATGAATCTTTTATGTAAAAATTGTTGTTTAAATTATAAGCATTGGTTAAGATGTCAGTGAGGAGCTGTGCTATTGGTAAGAAATTAAAATAATAAGAAATAAAATAAAATAGTAAGAAATACTATAAACAGTAAGAAATTTATTGATAATAATAAATAAAAAAGCAAAAGAACTCAAAATTTATAATTCTATTGCACCACGGTTTTATGCTCTACCTAAAATACATAAACCAACTTTATCTATGAGACCAATTGTTTCATCTCTATGCCCTCCAAATGGACCAATAGCACAGCTCCTCACTGACATCTTAACCAATGCTTATAATTTAAACAACAATTTTTACATAAAAGATTCATTTGATTTTAGTTCTTTCATTAATAATTTCCAATTACCACAAAATTATGTTTTAGTTAGTTTTGATGTAACATCTCTTTTTACTAATTTACCTTTAAATTTAATCATAAGTAGTGTTGAAAAACATTGGAATGAGATTTCGCAACATACTAATATTGACTTATTACATTTTAAAACACTCATCAACTTTGTTTTTGATTCTAATATTTTTATATTTAATGGTGTTTTTTATAAACAAATTTTTGGTAGCCCTATGGGATCTAGTCTTTCACCCATTCTAAGTAGCTATGTCATGGATGATGTTATTAGTGAGTGTATCAATAATTGCACTTTTTTCATTCCATTTATCAAAAGATATGTAGATGATCTAGTTTTGGCACTTCCTAAACACAAAATTCTTGAAACAGTCAACATTTTCAACAATCATAATCAACATATACAATTTACAGTTGAGGAAGAGGTAGATAATTCTCTACCATTCCTTGACATGAGAATTGTAAGAAATACAGACAATATGTTGAAAACTAGATGGTTCAGAAAACCCATATGTAGTAATAGATTTATAAGCTATTACTCTAATCATCCAAATAAAATGAAATCATGAACCTTATAACAGGATTAAAGGAACGTGTTTTAAAACTTTCTCATCCAGACTACTTACAAGAAGATCTTCATTTGTTAAAAAATATTTTAATTGAAAACTCTTATCCTCCTGATATGCTACATAGGATGCTTTTTTCTAATTTATTAAATATAAATAACTTAACACCATTTTTTGCTAAATCTCAAAACACTGTATCCAACAATCAAAACATATATTATCATTCACTACCTTTTATACCATCATTAACTCCTAAATTAATACAAACATTAAAGGTTATTGACAATATAAAAATAGCAACAAAGAACATCAAAACTATTTCATCTTTATATTCCAAAACTAAATATCCTATAGACAAATTAGATCAAACAAATGTAGTATACAGCATTGTTTGTACTCAGTGTGAAGCTGAGTATATTGGTGAGACTGGAAGAAATCTCTCTAATCGCATTATTTCTCACAAGAGTGATTGTAGAATTAAGAAACCATCTTGTGCTTTGGCAGAGCATGTAATAGACAAAGACCATATTATGGATTTTGATAATATTAAAATTTTATGTAATGAAAGTAATAAATTTAAAAGAACTTTTTTGGAAATGGTTTGTATTAGCAAAAGTGATAATAATTTAAACAAAAGGTCAGAAATTCAAAATTTAAGCAAAATTTATAATTATATAATTTCTATTTAATTTATGCAGTCAGTAAAATATCACATTTTGAATTTTCCATTTATTTGTTACATTTTTCCGGGCATCTATCAATGGTGAATAAATCTTCTTCTTTTTTGTTACTAAACAAAGAAGAATTTTTTAAACAAAATTTTATTTTTGACAATATGTCAAAAATAAGAATTTTTAAGTTAGTATTTATGACGTTTTAGGCTGGTTGTAGCTATTCTATATTTGTTTATAATTTCAATTTTTTTTCTTAAGAAAATTCATCTAAATTTTTCAGAGAAACATTTGTTAGAATAAGACATTTTTTTATTAATATTTTTTGTATTTATTATGTAAGCAGTAGTTTTATATAAAAAACTAATTTTATTTGGTGAGTTAACAAAAAATTTTTTATTTCTAGTTCAACTTTGTAAGACATTTTGTATTTTTTAGAAGCTCTTGATAAAAATTGTAATCACAATTGAAAGCTCGAGTAAAAAATAGTCAACAAATAGCCCCTTTTATTGACTCCAACCCATCAAAAACAGTGTTATATATATATATATATATATATATATATATATATATATATATATATATATATATATATATATATATTGGATTTGAAATTTCCGCGGGAGCTGTATGTGATTTCAGTTGCTTTCCGGGTTTGACTCCGCGTTAAATAGTTTTGGTTTTTGGCAAAACCATTGGTTTGACAAGTGTGGCCTTGCCAAAACGTCGTCAAAACAATGGTTTTTCTAAAAACCAAAACTATTTAACGCGGAGTCAAACACGGAAAACAACTGAAATCATATATATATATATATATATATATATATATATATATATATATATATATATATATATTATATATATATTTATATATAATTTAGTTATAATATAATATCTTATAAAATATTAAAAACTTTCCTACAAGATGGTTACTCATAGTTTTACTACTAATTTTACAACTTCTGTCTGTGCAAGCTGATTGAAAAATGTTTGACCTCAGAATCTTTTAAGCTTCAATTTAATACTATCATTATCATTGGAATGCAGTATGTAAGTTATGATTGGAATATAAGAACTCACCTACAATATTCTAAAACTAAAAATAAAGCATTTTCGCAATTATAATGACTGTCTAGTTTGACCATGTAAGGCACGTTCTCAGGCAATATTAAATTCTCGTTGAGGAATTGCATCGTTTTGTGGATAACCTAAAAAGTTATTTACATTTTATTTATAAAACATGAAAACCAAACGGAATTGAAATATTTTTGAACATGTCAAAATTGATCTCGTTATTAAAAAAGTATTGTAAATCTCACTGTGAGAGTGAGACGTGCAATATTGCAGTGAAATATAGCATTATTCAGAAATTATACCACTTTTCTAAGCTTTTTCATCTTCGTGTCAAATTTGGTGGAGCCCTATCGTCATAATGTCTGCTGTCATTGATTCCTTTTTGTTGGAAACACATTCAAGAACCAACTTATCGATGTGTGTCCCCCTTAAAACATCCAGTATTTTTGCTTTTGCCTACGATAATCGGTTCCTTCTTTTCATCTTCCATATTCGCACAAAACAAAATTTTTAATTCCTTCTTTTGTAGTTTTTCTCCCAGGACAATTGTCATTGTTCAATGCATATGTTTCTGTTGGCAACGCACAATAATAGAGACCCGTCTGGTCCATGGTACCATGAATACAAGGTATGATACATAATGTTCCAAAATCGGTTTGCTTTCGCGCATGACGTAGTCAAGACCGCTTATTCCCACAACATTTGAATGTAGTTGTATAGTAAAGACTTTTAATTTTAAGTTTTTTTTATATAATTTGGCTTATTTAATTATAGTAATTATAAAGACATGATAAAATTATGTTATTATAATATTTAATCATAAATAAAACTTTTAAGTTAATTTAAGTTTATTGATTTTTGGTACAGTTATTTTGTTAACATAGCAATCCTTTATAAAACAAGTTTTAATTATCTTTTATTACACGTAGGTACAGGTTAATTAACTTATATTCCAGAATTCAATATTTCGGATGTTTAAAAAGATACAAAAAAGTGGTAATGAAGTGGTATACAAAATTTGTACGTATATACCTACTGAACTAAACAAAAAATCAAAATAAATAACGATAAAGTCAACTTTATTTAGATCGGATATCTGACCATCGAGTATGAGTGTAGTGAGGTCACACAATATTGCACAATATTTTAAATGACATGTTTTGTAATATTCACACATAAAATTATCTTGGTATTGTTTATAATAATGATAACATTATAAATTTTAATAATGATTGATTTAACAAAGAAAAATATGTTATTTTGGAAGATGCTAAATTGATTTCCTCCGAAACAGTTCTTATTGCAAATTGCATAGCAGGCTGAGGCTAGTTTCTTACTTAACAAATCGATACGAAAAAACCATTTAAGGTTCCTGTCTAAAAAAATAACAACAATTTTACATGTAAAATGTTTACAGTAACATGTTAAAAAGCTTTAAACTGATATATTCATGAATTTTGGGTCTTCGTTATTCTATAAAATGAAAGATATTATAATGGAGTTTTTTCTAGTTGCATAACTATGCACATCACCCAGTTTATCCAAATGTTTTTAAAATCACCTATTTTTAACATATAACAAACATTCAAAAATAGCGATGGTTCATGAAGAGCAAAAAGGAATTAATGCAGAGCAGGATAAATTACTGCAGAGCGCAGATATAGTTAGATGTGTAAAGTCACAAAGACTAAACGCTGTTGGCCACCTAAAAAGAATACCAGATAATCGAGCTGGAAAAGTAATCCAGAGATTAAAACCCCAAGCAAAATAAAAGGTGGATAGAGGATATAGAGGAAGATCTTCAAATCACGAACATCAGGCAGTGGTGAAGCAAAGTACATTGTTACGCAGGCCAAGACCTACAAAGGGTTGTAGTGCCATTAGAAGAATAAGAAAAAGCAGTTGGCAAATAAAAAAAGAACAAATATTTATGAACAAGCATTATTTCACAATTTTTACAGTTTTGCGTTTGAACCAATTTGTGCCTGATTTTCATATTATATTGTTTGGTAGGTAAATTTTGCATATAATAATCTGTAGGTTATAGTAATCTGTATATTTTTTATTTTACAAAATTTTATTATAACCCATCTAAAATATCATATTGAATTATAAATCAGATTTTTCTTTACTGTAATCTATTTTGTTTTTACTTCGGTAAAACTGCTTGGAAATAAGTGACGGTGAATCAGAATACGCAAATTAACTACTATTTACCAATTCACAGTATTTTATATGCACTAATTTTTAAATTTCAACGGATTTGCATACAAAAAGAGTGCTGATATTATTAGTATATGTATGGAAACAAAAATAAATATTTCGCCTGAATCCACAGAAAAAGTAAAGGTTTTACGCTACTGAAAATATATTTTTTATTCAATTATAACCAAAACAAAACATTAAAAAAACATTGATAATTTTTTGACCATAATTTCAAAATTCATGTGTACGTTAAGCTGTAATAATGGGTTCGAGCTATTTTGAGCGGTCTTGACTACGTCACACTCCTGGGCCAGCTGTCAAATGTCATGCGCAATATCATACCTTGTATTCATTGTACCATGCGTCTTGTCTGTACTAAACAAATCTTTTGGGCATGCCATATTTGCCGGATTTGCCACTTATTGTCTTGAAAGCATTATCGTGTCGACGACATTTTTCTAACCAACCGTATTATGCCTTGAAGTCACTTGCCTTGAACGTCGAGGGCTTTGGCTTGAATATTGTTCTTAAGAATAGTCGAATTACAAGAAAATAAGAAACGAAACTAAACACGTGCACAAGTTAGTTACAGCAGTTGAAAACGTTGAATTTGGTGGTTTGCTCCCTTCCTATAAATTGTTAGATTGGGGCCTCATTTCGGTATTCTATAATTGAAAAAAATCCACAAGGAAAATTTTTTTTTTTTTTATTCTATAATTGCACCTCGCGACGGGCAGTACGCTCCAAAAATATTTCTATAATCACATCTCAATCCTGGTACTCCCTTGCTAACACCACAGTGTAATCTCATTCACTTTGAAACTTAAACGAACTCTTCGTATATAGTAGAAAAACACGAATACATTTAACTTTAGTTAAACACGTTTTGTAAAAAACTATTTTTGTACTTGTGCTACATATAATAAAATGCATTATCCTCATCAACCTCATCAAACATAATTTACTACCAATTCGACTCAGAACTTGTTTCGACGAAGAATTCTTCAATCGAAGTCTTCATACTCAGTCAGTCCAACGTCTGACTGGCTACTTATGTTGTAGAAAATAGACAGTTCACAACACTTACTTTTATATAAAATAACTTTTGAAGCTCTGAATGTAATACTAATATTCCTTTGCCATCTATAATCTTTACTGCTTTAAATTTGTACAGATCAAATAAGGGTTTTTTAATAGTACCTTCTTCAATGGGTTTATTCTAAAAATAAAAAAGGTATTACAAGATTTATCTATAATGTATAAATAGCTTAAAAAAGAGTAACAACCATTTTCAATATCGAAAATATAAATCGGCACTTACTAATAGTTGAAGATTCTTAATTTCTGGTGCCAAATACATGTTGTAAAGTTTTTCGGCGCGTATTTTGTATTTGTCCATCTTATACTTAACTAACTGCCTCCTATCATAATTTGGATCATCTGAAAAATGACATTTAAATCAATATCAACAGTGGTAAAAGTTACTAAACGTATAGTAGTAATAATATTATAGTAAAATAATAAACGAAATTTGCGTAAAAATTCCAAGGAATTTCACACAACGTTTTTTTAAAACGTTTTTTCACTTCACAACGTTTTTTTAAATCTAAACATCAAATATAACTAATTTGAAATTGTGGCTTATGCCCATTAAGTAAAGTAGATAATATAGAAATGTTACAACAAAATAGTTTTAGAACCATTATCTTCAAAGTAAGCAAATCAACCGTTTAAAGTTTATCTACTTTATCCCCTGTATAAGCCCTATGGAACATGCGTGGCATCTATCTATCTATCTATAGCCCAAAATCTATTCATGTGTTGAATATAGGTCTCTCCCATTTGTCTCTGTCTTCTGTTTGTCTTTTCCACATTGGACCTACGCTTTGCTCAATGTCATCTTTCCATCTCATTTGCGGTCGACCTCTTGACCTTTTTGTAGTATATGGTCTCCAGCGGCCAATTTCTTTATTCCATCTTCCATCCTGATATCTTTCATTATGCCCAGCCCATTTCCATTTTAATTTCAATGCATATTCTACAGCGTCTGTTGTTTCGGTTTTGCATCTTATCTACTCGTTCCACTTTTTATCTCTCAACGATATTGCCAACATTTGTCTTTCCATAGCTCTTTGAGTTTTCTTTATTCTATCTAAGTTGCTCTTGGTACACGTCCACGTCTGGGCACCATATGTCAGAACAGGTAGGACGCATGCATTAAATACCTTCGTTTTTAATTTTAAAGGTATTTTTTGGTTTTTGATAGTATATGAGAGTTTTTCCAATGCAGCCCGCCCACTTCTTATTCTTCTGGTTATTTCTTTAGTCTGGTTACTTTTGTCTGCTCTGATAGCTTGTCCTAAGTAAATATATTCTTGGACGTGTTCTATGTTTGTTCCACCTATGGTAATTACTGATCTCACTTCTGTATTAGTCATTATTTTAGTTTTCTTTTGATTCATTTTTAGTCCTTTCTCACGAGATGTTTTTCTAGGTCTGAAATCATTATTCGTAGTTGTTCCATAGTTGTTGCTATCAGAACTACATCATCTGCGAATCTTAGATGATTTAAATATTTCCCGTTTATACAAATCCCTTTATTGTCCCAGTCTATATATTTAAAAATATCTTCCAACGCCAGAGTATATAGTTTGGGTGAGATTGTATCCCCTTCTCTGACGCCTCTACAAATTCTAATTAATGGAGTTTGCAAATCTCTGTCTAGCTGAATTCTCATAGTGACGTTTTGATATATATTTTGGATTAACATTCTGTACCGTGAATCTATTCGGCAATTAACTAGCGCTTCTTCCACTGCCCACAGATCTATGCTGTCAAACGCTTTTTCATAGTCAACAAACGCTAGGTATATTGGAAGGTTGTATTCGTTGGTCTTTTCTATCAATATTTTAAGAGTGTGAAGGTGGTCGGTTGTGCTGTACCCCTTTCTAAATCCTGCCTGCTCAACTGGTTGGTATGCATCAAATTTGTTGTTTAGTCTAGTTTAGTCTAGTTTAGTTTAGTCTAGTGATCACCTTAGTGAAAGTTTTATATATTTGCGACAAGAGAGATATTGGTCTATTGTTAGATAATTTTGATCTATTTCCTTTTTTATACAGAGTGACCCAAAAGTCTGGAAACGGCTAATTATCTCGTAAATTACTAGACATAATTATACAAAATTTGAGATACGCCTATTTTGGGATACGGAGATTAAATATTTGGTATTTGCAATGTTGCCAGATTTTCAGTTTCTCTTATATTACTAGTAACTTTTGGTTTTTCAAATGCATCACCCTGTATATTCAGTCATTATTGGAATCTCCTATGAAATACGAGTTAAACCATATGTAACACGTATGATTTTATGTAGTCTGGAAGGTCTTATATACATAAAACAGAAGTCTGGCAACGCCTAAATTGTTTCAATACATTTTTTAATACTAACTATTTTCAAATACATTAAAACGTAACAATTGATAGTTTAGAATATTTTTTAACATAATAGTTACGTTATTAAGTGTTCAAAATGTGCTCCTCCATTTGTGAGTTGACAGCACTCTAATCGATGGTAGAATGCGTCTACCACATTTCTCCATGATTGTCTAGAAATTATTCGAAATTCATCGATAATTCATTGCCTTAGCTATGCAAGACTTGATGGTTAAGTTTTGTGAACTGAATTTTTCAAGTATCTCTAATAAAAATAATCTTTAGGATGGAGATTGGGTGAACGTGGAGGCCATTCAATTCTACCTTGTCTACCAATTTATCGCCCGGGAAATATCTCATCTAAATAACGCCGAACATTTACACCAACTATCTGACGTTAAATTTCTTTCGATAAAAAATGGCCCAATTAAATAAGTACCTACTATAACTGACCATACATTTAATTTTTGTGGTCTTTGAGTATAGTTTTCACGCATTCAGTGTGAATTTCACACGAGCTATTCAACACGAGTTCAACCATATGTTCACTTGATTTTATGTAGTCTGAAAGATCTTAAATACATAAAACAGTGCAAAATATGTAGATTTTAATAAATTTAAATATTTAAATGGAGAATGCTGTGATTTTGACATTTGGTCACCATTTAAATTATGAACTAAAATTGACAGTAGTTGTGGTTCAAAAAGTTCTGCAATTTAAATTGCTTCTCTAAAATGCCGTTCTCTAAACCGTTCTCCTATTCATAAGACGACGGTACAAAAAACTGTAAGGCGATCAGGTTGACCGATACGAGTTATCAAGACAACAAAACTTCATGATATAAGCAAAGTTTTGTTGAAGATCCACATACATCCCCAGGCAGGGTTGCACAAGTACATGATGTAGGTCATTCTTCAGTCTTACGTTTATTATGTAAAAATAAATTTAAATCATACAAAATTAACTTATTGCAAGAATTAAGTGAAGATGACTTTTACATGATGAAGCTACTTTTACACTGCGTGGAAGTGTAAATCGACACAATTTTAGGTACTGGTGTGACGTAAATTCACACTGAAGACTGAGTGCGTAAAAGCCATACTCAAAGACCACAAAAATTAAATGTATGGTCAGATATAGTAGTTACTTATTCAATTGGGTCATTTTTTGTCAAAAGAAATTTAACGTCAGATAGTTGGTGTAAATGTTCGGCGACATTTAGATGTGATATTTCCTGGACGATAAATTGGTAGACAAGGTAGAATTGAATGGCCTGCACGTTCACCCGATTTCAATCCTAAAGATTATTTTTATTAGGGATACTTGAAAAATTCAGTTTACAAAACTTAACCAGCAAGTCTTGCAGAGCTAAGGCAACGAATTATCAATGAATCTCGAATAATTTCTAGACAATCATCGAGAAATGTGGTAGACGCCTTCTACCATCGATTAGGGTGCTGTCAACTCACAAATTGAGCACATTTTGAACACTTAATAACGTAACTACTATGTTAAAAAATGTTCTAAACTATCAATTGTTACGTTTTAATGTATTTGAAAATAGTTAGTATTAAAAAAAATATTGAAACAATTTAGGCGTTGCCAGACTTCGGGTTTTATGTATTTATGACCTTCCAGATTACATAAAATCATAAGTGTTACATATGGTTGAACTCTTATTGAATAGGAGATTCCAATAATGACTGAATATACAGGGTGATGTATTTGAAAAACCAAAGTTACTAATAATATAAGAAAAACGGCAAATCTGGCAACATTTTTCACATCAACATCTTTCGCATGATGCTTGTACATTTATAAAATCGTATGTGGAATCAAGGTTTCAACGAGTCAAAATTGGTAGGTGTTTATCAGATAAATTTCAGGCTACATCTGGTGTCCCCCAAGGGAGCAACTTAGGGCCTTTGTTTTTCTTAATTTTTGTCAACTCACTACCACAATCTCTTAAATTTTCTTCTAGTCTGATCTATGCTGATGATTTTAAGCTTTTTAAGACTATACATACTTCAAATGATTGTCAGTTGCTACAGGAGGACCTGACCTCAGTTGTGGAATGGTTTAGGGACAACAATATGATCTTGAATATTACGAAGTGTGGAGTCATATCCTTCACTCGCAAAATTGATTACATTGAAAATAATTATAGAATTGACAATTGTGTAGTATCTAGGAAAACCAAATATTGGGATTTGTAATAAGAAATTCTAAACATTTTAGTATAAATACAACCATTAGACTATATAACGCTTTAGTCAGACCAAACTTGGAATATGCATCAGTGGTATGGACTCCTGAAGCCAAAGTTCATATTATTTCATATACAAAAGGTACAAAAAAGATTTCTAAGGTATTTATACCTTAAGAAATACAATGTGTATACTCACCTTACGCCATCAAAAGAGTTGCTTCAAATATTTGGCTTGCAGTCATTAGAGCAAAGAAGAAACATGTATTGCGTTGTGTTTATTCATAATATCATTAACAATGTTAAATATAAGACATGTGGTTTGATAAACTTTATTAGGTTTCATGTGCCAAAGGTCAACCTAAGGGTAAACAGTAATGACCTATTGTAGTCCTTATAATTCAGGTGCAATAATAAACTATATGCAATATCAGTGCAATGAGTTAATAAAGATCTGTGATATAGACCTCTTTACCTGTAGTGTAAGGGATATTAAAAAATGTTATAAATAAGTATGATAAGTACCTTATGGACTCAATTTTTAATATTTTATTAACTTGTGTCTTTTTATTAATGTGTTTTTTTTTGTGTGTTTTTATTTTGTACTTGTGTGTATATTGTATTTTTTGTGTGTATATTGTTATACCAAGTAATGAGCACTCTTACATGTAATTACTACCTAGGTGGTGTTTGTAAGTTTTAATAAATAAATAAATAAATAAACATTGTAAATATCAAATATGGAATCTCCGTATCCAAAAATAGGTGTACCTCAAATTTTGTAAATTATGATTAGCATTTTACGAGATAATTAGCCGTTTCCAGACTTTTGGGCCACTCTGTATATCAGAATTATATTTTCCCTGTTCCACTCTTGCGGTATTTGTCCTTCAAACAAACATTAATTGAAAAGTATCTTTGGGCAGTCTTTTATCTTTTCCCCTCCTTCTTTTAACATTTCAATTAGAATTTCATCGTCTCCCGGAGCCTTATTTCTTTTCATATCTCTAATTGCTTTTTCTATTTCTTCTCCGGTTATGGGGGGTAATATTACAGAGTTTACATTCATTATTTTCTTTTTCAGGTTTTGTTGAGTTGTAGCAGGTGGACTGTTTTTAGAGCTGTAGAGGTCACTATAATATTCCCTTGTTATCTTAGATATTTGAGTTCGGCTTTTTTCTATTACACCTTGTTTATTTTCCATCGCTATGACTTTATTTCTTATGTCTTCTTATTTCTGTATTAAGGATTTTGTATTCAGCTGTATTTATTTTATTTTCTTGTAGTAGGCTTTTCCCTTGTAGAATGTCTAAAGATATGGCACTTAGTTTTAATTTTTTGTCTGATTTTGTTGGTGCTACTTCTAAGCTAGTCTTTAGAAGTTTTTTAGTGATGGCTTTGTTTAGTTGATCTAGCTTTAGGTCTGTTAGCTTTAGTTCTTCAGCTATTCTTAATTTGTTTTGGTATTGTTCTTTATTCTCCTTTAATTTTTCTGGGTGGACTTTTTTCTTAGAGTGCACATATTGAGTGCACATATGGAGGCCATATTCTGAGAGGTAAAAAATATGCAATCCCTCAGCTAATCATCTAGGGAAAGATTGGAGGCAAGAGATGAGTAGGTCGCAAACAAATGTCGTGGCTACGGAACGTAAAGAACTGGACAGGCGATAACAGTAAATAACACTGGCGATCTTTTATATATATATATCCGGTTTTTTAGGCGTTACGTCCGTCCGGTAGGGATCTATGGAGGAGTATCACCGAGCCGCAAGCCCTTGTCTCTTGCCGTACTGCTCCACCATAGGCCGATCAGACCCCAGCATATTCTAGTCTAAGCCGCAGATTCATCTAGAATTTTAAACTGCTGCGTTAGACTTTTTGTTTTTCTGTACACCGAGCTGGGGCTCGATCCCACATCCACTGAACCATTGGACAGTGAAGCAAATGAGAGGCAGCCGCACAGCCCGCTGAGCTATCTGACCGACTTTTGAGTCTGAGAGACTTTTGAATCTGAGGGATCTTTTACATGCCGCAAAAGACAGACGTCTGGCGTTAAGATAATTCGACAACGCACTATAGGTGTACGGCACTATAAGATGAAGATACCAGTATGAACAGTAACAAATTGTTGATATAATTGCACTAAAACCAGTCTGCTATTCTTGCAAAATTTTTCAGCGTAAGGGGATAATTTACTAAGAAGGACATCTGAGAGGATTTTGCAAGCGCTGTTAATTAATCATATTCTTCTGTAGTTAACACATTTCGTTTTGTCTCATTTGATTGTTTTAATTAGAGGTTAGTTGCTTAAGTTAGTTGCTTTAGTTAATTAGAGAATGTTTGCTCTTAGAGGACTTCTCTACCGAGATAGGTAGTGACATGGATTGGCAAGATATTAAAATCTTTAAGTCGATATTTTATAACAGTAGTAAAATTTTAATACACTTACCACTTCCATGTTTCGTTAAAATATCAATTGCGGTATTATAAGCTACATGTGCTTCTGCAAATAATCGGTCTTCTTCCAATTCTGCTGCTAAGTTTATATGAACTGAAGCATCTAGAATATACTGAATATTGTCATCTAAGCTTTTAATAAAAGGGATATTATGTCCTTGTCCATCTACTATACTAATATTGTCGAAAATGTTGGTTACGCTAGATAAATCTGAAATATTTGACGAAGTATGGGAATTGATAGACGTTGAAGAATTGAATTTTTTAAGTTTTGGATGAGGTAAATTCTTCGCCGATTCCGAAAATATATCTACCTAAAAATTAAAGAAGATAAAACTAGTAATACACGTTAGTATTAAATTATTTAAATGAATATTTCTTCCAGTTTAATACCAGCCTATTTACAAGGCTTATTATTGTAATTAGTAAGACAAATATACAACGTATAATTAGGAACTGAGTCGAAATGTTCTATATTTACTATAATAACAAACAGCTGATAACAAACAGAGCAAAATAAAAGAAAATAATTACTGTTTGTACAAATGACGTACAATAAACAATAAATATAAATAACTAACAGCAATTACAGATATTTACAAAAAAGGTTCCCTTAATAAAGCGACAACAACATTATAAACTCGTTATTATGGATAATAATTGGAATTTAAACAGAAATTATTATCATTTGGTTACTCTCCATCAAATATCCGTTAGAGATCGGAGCCTGACAAAATACAGGGAAAATATGTGAAAATCAGCTACGCAACTAATTTAAAATTTGTATATTTTCCTGAATTTTATAGTAAAAATTTACCAATAAGCATGTATGAAATGGAAATAAGTTATTTACAGCTCTTTTTGTGCATCTGGATGCAGTTCCATCCAGATTGCATTGTGAAAAGGGTGAAACATCCGGTTAGTGTCATGGTGTACTCTGTAATCTCGGCCAAGGATATGTGGTTCCCTGGTCAAAAAAATTACCTTTTTATGCACGGTTCTGTCCCGTGCCACAAAGCTAGAAGTGTAACTGCATTTCTGTCCAGAGAAAATATTGCAGTTCTGCCCTGGCCGGAAAACTCCTCTAATATGAACCCCATAGAGAGTACGTGGGAGTTAACCAAACGGGAGATCGCCAAAAATGTTATTACAAAGAAACGGCAGTTGATTGAAGCTCTTATTAAAGAATGTCGTCATAATCCAAAATTAAAATACAATGCAGAAGTTTGTATTCAGAGCATGCTCGGACGTGTAGAAGCTGTAATTGCAGCAAAAGTGTGGCATCGCTAAATATTGAAATTAGTGATTGTATGTATGAACAATTTTTTTGTGAAGAAAATTATTTATTTTACTAACATAACTCCTTGTTTTTGTGACCTTATTAACACAATATTTTATACAAAAAAAGATGCAAGCCTTGCAAACAACTTCCCCTCTCTTACATATTCTACCCTCCTTTACATATTCATTCTTCATATTATCTGCCACGATTGTCTAAAATTTGCTCTTCTGTGCCATGTTGTACCGGCTTGTTTCCTTATGTCACTGGACTGACCGAGTCACAAATGAGGAGGTCCTTAGAAGAATGAATAAGAACCAAGAAATACTGACCACCATTAAATCTCGAAAGTTACAATTCTTCGGGCATATTATGATTTTTTTAATATCATCAACTCATCTCATCTGTGGTCTTCCTCTTGTTTACTTTCGTAAGGTCTCCAATGTTGTATTGTAGTATTCCAACGTTGGTCTTTCTGTCTAGCAGTGTGGCCCGCGAAGCTCCATTTAAGTTTTGCAATTTTTATTGTTATGTCCTCGACTTTTGTTTTGGATCTTACCCAGTTGTTCCACTTTTTATCTGACAGTCGTATACCTAACATTGCTCTTTCCATTGTTCTTTCTGTTGTGGCTAGTTTATTCATGTTTGCCTTGGTTAGGGTCCAGGTTTGACATCCATATGTCATGATAGGAAGGATGCATTGGTTGAACACTTTGCTCCTCAAGTATTGGGGTCTTTTGCGGTTCTTAAGTATCCAACTAAGTTTTCCAAATCCTGCCCATTCTAGTAATTTCCGTACTTTGGTTCTCTTTGTCAAGTCTCAGGATTTGGCCTAGGTAGATATATTCCTGGATTTGTTCTATCTCACTGCGGTTTATAGTTATATGTCTGGGGTCTGCTGTGTTTGACATTATTTTTGTTTTTTTCATATTCATTTTTAGGCCGACGTATTGGGAGCTGGCTGCTAGTTCCCCCAACATAATTTGCAGTTCCTCGAATGTGCTCGCTATAATCACTATGTCGTCAGCGAATCTGAGGTGGTTTAACTTGTTGCCATTAACGTTAATGCCATAGGTTGACCAATTTGTTGTTTTGAAGACGTCTTCTAGGGCTAGGTTGAAAAGTTTTGACGATATTACGTCTCCTTGTCTCACTCCTCTCTTAATGGGGATGTGATTTGTATATTCGTCTAGTTGTACTATCATAGTTGCATTTTCCTATAATATTATGTATTTTTGGAAGATGCTAAATTGATTTCCGTCGAAACAGACCTTATTGCATAGAAGACTGTGGCTAGTTTCTTAATTAACACAAATCGATATGAATCGACCATTTAAGTTTGCTGTCTACAAAAAATACCAACAAATTTTACAGAATCAACTATACTGATCTGGCTATTATTAATAAGCAAGGGTTGAAGAGCTCTTTTATAAGGATACCTATATACAAGATACCAGGATAAAATACGTACATTTGAAACTCCACACATGGATATCTGATACAATCTGAGATCCCATATTTGTGCCACTACTGGAACTATCAGCTCTTATTCATATTCTTATAACCTGTCCAAAATACCAAAACGACAACTACATAGATTAAAGGATAAGCTAAATGAAGCTCTAAATTATGCATGTACATCACAACTTAGTTTTGTCAAGACTTTAAACATGTTTTGTAAAATTTAAATATTCATGTACTTCGAATCGCATATTATACTGTATTAATAATTTCTATAATAAAAAAAGATTAATTCAATAAAAAATGTCGAAAGTAAAACGTGTCCTAAATATACAAAGAATGAAAAGAGATTAATATTTCAGTGTGTTTTATAAAATCTAATACTAACCTGAACTGGACTTGCTAAACTACACATTGTCGATATCGAATCTGTATCACTTATTGTTACGTCGTCATCAGAAAGAGTAGTAGATACTTCAGGATCTTCAGGTAACTGCAGTTCAGCCCTTATAGAATTTATGTTGCTATTAAGAAGTTCCGCTGGTGTATGACTAGTCTAAAAATGAAAAAAAAACATCAATTTTAAGTTCAAAAGCTGAAAGAAGGTTTATAATTATTTGAAATAACTACTTCTTATCGCTCGATATGATGTTTTGAACGGGCCCGAAATCCTATTTACCGTAACTTGAAAAATCGAGACGGGTGTGACTTGCACATACCGATTAGGCTAATTATATTTGTATGAAATAATAGTACATTGAAGTAAATAAAATTAAGCAAAATTAAGTACAGTTAAGTAAAATTAAATAAAATTAAACGGAATTAAATAAAATTAAACAAAATTATAAAAAATCATAAATAATTTTAAAAAAATTTTAAAATTATTAAAATTAAATAAAATTATAAAAAATTAATAAAAAGATCAATAATTATAAAAAATTATAAGAAATAAATAAAATAAAATTAATTTATAAATAAAATATATAAATGTATACAGGGTGTCCCCGAAAAAAATGCGTTCCTTAAAGGTATATGTAGAAGTCGACATGTAGAGCAAAAAAAGACTTCAATACATTTTTTCTAAATTTAGCGGTTTGACCAAAAAACGAAAATACATTTTGGTACGCAAAAAGAAACCTGTCAACTACGTGCAGTACGAAAATCTAAACGTAGACAGTCATAACGTAGACACTAAACAGATATTTTCGAACAATCGTGTTTAGTGCCACCGCGAAAATGTTTTCGATTTGTGAGTAACATGATATGTTGATTATTTAAGGAGAAGCGCAGTGTAACAGTAATTTAGCTGTCCAAATTTATGTGCATCGGTATCCCGAAAGGCGAACTCCTAATATGCAAACTTTTGTGAATGTTTCTCAAATATTATTACAAACGGGTTCTGTTGAATCATAAAAAAATAACGGAAGAATAAGAAGTATCGGTCGATTAAATGTAGAAGACGACATGTTAGATGCTGTGAAAAATAATCCAAATGTAAGTACACGAACGGAGGCTAATACGGGAGTAATGCCGAAAAACATTGTTCATAGATCATTTCGATAACAACTTCTATATATATACATTATCAGAGAGTACACGATTTACACCAAGGTGAAGGAGAGAAAGAGATAAGAGAAGTCATCAGTTAAGGAGTCCATGTGTATGCAAAGAGATATGTAGACACAATAAAAGAGGAACGAAGAGTAGCCATCTGGAACGAATTCTATAAAATGGATGACAATGTAAGAAGAGCTTGGATACTAGGTTGTATTGCCCAAAAAGATAAAGCACGTGAAACAACTAAGATGTAAGTAAGAAAGAGAAGTAGAACTTTAACCTACACGTTACCGGGTGAAAACGCACATACGATCGAACCAATGCTTTAACCTTGTTTAGACTACTGCCTCTTCAAGGAAGGGGCACTCCTTTTTTTCGGAGTAAGGGGGTGGGTAAACATGATGACGAATGCTTGTGGAGATGTAGAGGTGGATTGCTAAAAATCTGGGTTTCAGAATGTGGCATGTGTGATATGGACGATATATGAAGCGCACAAGAATTGTTGGCGAAGAAGGCCAAACAAGTCGAAGGGGGTAGTTCAAGGGGTTACCAGGTATACACAGAGCATATGTAAAAAGTTATTTTTAATAACTCTTGGTGATGATCAAAAAACGATAAGTCCACACCGAAATCAATATCCCAAATAAAGATAATTTTCACCTCTAAAAGTCTCACCCTACCTCTCAAAATTCGACTTCTGAAATGTTATGTATTTCCGGTTTTGTTATATGGAATGGAGGCGTGGAAAATGACCGCAACATTGATGAAAACAGTAGAGGCCTTCGAAATGTGGGCTTACCGACGTATATTACGTATATCCTGGACTGAGCACGTGACCAACGAAGAGGTACTACGCAGGATATGTAAAGAGAGAGAGAGGTAGGAATAAGTATAAAGAAAAGAAAGTTGGAATACTTGGGTCACGTTATGAGACATAATAAATATAGTTTACTACAGCTGATCGTTCAAGGGAAAATAGACAGCAGAAGGGGTCCAGGGAGGAGAAGACACTCGTGGCTCCATAACTTGCGGCAATGGTTCGGATTGTCATCTGCTGAACTATTCAGATCTGCCGTAAACAAAGTCAGAATAGCCATGTTGACTGCCAACGTTCGGAACGGACAAGGCACATGAAGAAGAAGAAGAAGAAATAAAGATAGACGAAGATCAGCAGTACCGTCTAACAAATGTAATCGTCAAATTTTGGTACATCATATTTCATCATTTCATTAATGTATAAGTCACTACCGAAGAGAACATGCTCCTAACCGAGTGTATCTAGCTAACGATATCACAATTCGAAGTATGCATGCTGACTATCGAAAACTGTTCACTTGTATCGGTGTTCGACATTAGCTTTACAAAATTAGGAAATGAGGAGTGCGACTACTGTATGTTGCATATTCAGCATATAAAACGAAGATATAAGAAACGAAGATCTGCGAAGAAGGACGAGTATTACAGCAGGTGACAACGTTACTGAAATTGTGGAAGGTTCTAATGAAGATCAAACAATACACAGAGCAACTATTATTAATACAACTGCTAGGTCTAAACTTAATTTGTCGTCTCTTAAGGCTGTTAGCATTTAGTTTAAAGCATCAAGTTGCAACATCTTGCATGAAATGGCTACAGCACTCTGAAAAGGCCAAAAAAAAAATTAATACAAACAGGATGTAGCACAAGAAAAAGAGGAAACCGAAGTAGTAAGGAGTGTAGACTTACAGAAAGTTATAATGCTACCAAGGATTCCTGGAAGCCAGAAGACATTTTTGACAAGACGACTTGTGGCTTTTTATCTAACCTTTTCATCAATGGTAAACAAGGAGAGTAGAAGCACTAAAAAACATGTCAGTCTTGTGGTATGAAGTAGTGGCTGGAAGAAAGGCAGAAGAAATTGCATCTGCATATTAGAGATTTAGTTGAAGAAAGAGACGCCGTTAAAGTATTGTATTCAACAGACAATTTCTCAGCCTAAAATAAAAATTGGTGCTTATGTACCATGTTTGCCACAATGGTAAAATCAAAAATGATTGCCACCTCTAAAATTACCCTTAAATGTTTTGAGACAGGCCACACCTTCATGAGTGCCGATTCTGTTCATCACGGTGTGAAAGAGAACATGAAGATCACAACTGAATGAAATATTTACGACTTTAACGATTTTATCAAGGTTGTAGAAAACTCACATGAAAAAAAAAATGAACGTAATTTGTTTAAAAACGAAGATGTTTTAAATTGGCAATCTGGAGATTCAAAAGCCAAATAAAAAAATCGGATAGACCTTTGCTTTGCGACATATCTGTGGTACAGTTCATACGAGGCAGTCGATTACTTTTTTATAAAAATAATATTAACGACGAAAATTTCGAGGAAAATAATTTTCTTAAACCAAATTTTAAACTTGAAATTCGTAATAAATTACTCTGTGCCCTCTCATACCTTTAAACAGACAGCATTTTTGGCTTTCATTAAAAGAAGATGCCGTAGAATAAATTTCCAATAATTTTTGTCAATATTAGGTAATTAATTAAAACTTTTTGTTTCTAATATGAATTACATTTGATTTTTTATTTGATTACACAACCGCTTTATTCTGCATTTTTGTTTTATTTTTAAAACCAAAATTTACATAAAGTTGACAATTCCACATTTCTGCTGAAGAAAACAACTTCATTATTAGGGCAAACAGCAATAACTGCTGAATTTTCAGCCAAAAAACAAGTAACACAGTTGTTTGATTTGTCAAAAATTAGGACATATTTTTTAATGTTTTAACGATTTTCTGTTTAAAATTAAAGAAATAATAAATTGTATGAATGAAGAAATCTTAAATTAGAAATCAATCAAAACTATTACTTTGACAATTACTGCTTTTTACCTTATCACGGCAGTATAACTTTAATAACAAATGAAACTCTTAATTTAAAATTAATGTTTTTACATACCTCCAAAAATTTTACGAACTCTATGGAAGTAAACAACTGGTAATTCCCACCTACAAATTCTAGAAAGTTTAAAACACTTTGTTTCCTTTCATTAATGGTATCATCATCAAACCTAAAAAAGTAACACCATAGTATAAAAAAGAAAAGTTTTGTGGTTAAACTGTGGTAACACATTCGATGTATGCTATAAATAATAGTACATTGGTAAAGGTATATTTTTAAAATAGTCTCTTATCAAACTGGAAGGTCAAAGAGTACATGTCTTATTCATTTGTATTACAAATAATAATAAAGGTATATCTAATGAGTTCAAAGAATCGTATCAACTGATAAGGAATTATACAGTTTGTCCAAAAGTTAGAATAGAGTATAGACAACAGATAATACAACGGAAAGCACAGAAGATAAGATAGAATCCCTTAAGAAAACAATAGACGACATTAAAGACAATTTTATGAAGAACGAAGAAGGTAAAAATAAGACATGGATGACGACAGAGATTCTGCAACTAATGGAAGAAAGAAGGAAAAACAAGAACGATAACTCCATGTATAAAACATTACAGCGAGAGATACAGAGAAAGATCAGAGAAGCCAAACAGAAAGAACTGGAGAAAAAATGCCAAGAAATCGAAATTCTCCAAAGTAAATACGACGACTTCAACGTGCATAAGAAGGTAAGAGAAATTACAGGTAAATGTAAAAACAGAAGAATAAGTAAACTTGTTAATGACAATGGAGAGATAATCGTGGACAAAGAGAGTATCGATGATACCTGGAAAAATTACATAAGAAATTTATTTTTTGATGAGAGAGAGAACCAGCCCCAAATACCTACGGAAACAGGACCACCTATACTAGTGGCAGAAATAAGAGCAGCCATAATATCACTAAAAGAAGGTAGAGCTCCAGGACCAGACGGAGTAAAATCTGAATTTCTTAAACTTCTTGATGATGAATCTTTAAGAGTACTATGTAAAATCTTTAATAATATCTATGACACAGGCAATATCCCAAAAGATTGGCTACTTTCAGAATTTATTACCTTACCAAAGAAACAGGGAGCAAAAAAGTGCGGAGAATATAGGCTAATAAGTCTAATGAGCCATACATTAAAAGTTTTTCTTAAAATTATACATCGTAGAATATACAAGCTATGCGAAGAGAGAATACAAGACACACAGTTTGGATTCATGAAAGGCGTAGGTACAAGAGATGCACTGTTTAATCTACAAGTATTATTTCAAAGATGCAGAGATATGACTTGCGATATTTACACCTGCTTAATATTTAGTGAAGCCTTGGAAAAATGCGAACATGGAATACTTCTAAATGGAGAACGCCTAAACAACATCCGTTATGCAGACGACACCGTTATTTTTGCAGACAGTTTGAACAGTTTACAGCAACTAATAAACAAAGTAAATGAAGTAAGTGAAAGTTTTGGACTTCAAGTAAATATAACAAAAACTAAATTTATGATCATCAGCAAAAATAAAGTTAGAGACGCTCAACTACTTATCAATAATACACCAGTGGACCGAGTAAAACAGTATAACTATCTTGGAACAACAGTAAATGAACAATGGGATCACTCACAGGAAATAAAATGTAGAATAGAGAAGGCTAGGAGTGCATTCAATAACATGGCCAAACTCTTTAAAAGCCACAATCTTAATCTGGAGATAAAAGTAAGGCTCCTACGATGTTATATCTTCTCAATATTGTATTACGGCGTTGAATCCTGGACACTAACTGAAGCAATGGAAAAAAAACTTGAAGCCTTCGAGATGTGGCTATACAGGCGAATTCTAAGGATATCATGGACAGACAAGATAACCAACGAGACCGTATTACGAAGAGTGGGCAAAGAAAGAGAGGTGATGTATACCATTAAAAGGAGAAAGTTGGAATATCTCGGACATATAATGAGAAACAGCACTAAATACAGATTACTGAAGGTAATCCTACAGGGTAAAGTATTCGGAAAGCGAGGAATTGGGAGAAGGAGAATATCATGGTTGAAGAACCTGAGAAAATGGTTCTCCACAACAACAACGAATCTATTTAAAGCATCAGTTAATAAAATAATTATAGCCAGAATGATTGCCAATATTCGGAACGAATAGGCACTGAAAGAAGAAGAATAGACAACAGAATAAAATTTATGTATTTGTTTAGAAGTTATAGTTGGATATGTTCTTGGGCACTAATACTGTTATCAGAAAGTATGTATGTATAAAGTATGTATTGTCCGTGACAATACTTTCATTTTGTTTGCAATGACAAAAGATCAAACATAATTCGAAGCATAAGTGGATACACTCACCTATGAGTTACCTAGAAAATATCCATCTATATAAAAGACTACGACAACTCACACTATTTGTGTGGTAGAATAATTACTAGCGCCACCTAGGAAAGAAATCTGAACTACCAATTGCCATTACAATCTACTGAATTAATCATATTTTGTTCTTGAAACGATACGTTTAGTTAATAATAATATTAATTTGAGACTAATATATATTTCATATTAATATTGGTTGCTGGAATTTTAAGATAAAATTTAATAAACAAAATTATTTAAAGCTTTATGTTAGTTTAGATTTAAACACCTAGCGCCACTTAGGAAAGAAATATGAACTACCAACTGACATGAATAAAATTATATATATATATATATATATATATATATATATATATATATATATATATATCCGGTTTTTTAGGCGAGTTACAGTACAATGACCGCTACCATCCAGTAAATTCTACCACGTGGATTCCACACGGGACTACCGCTCGATCATTCTGGACTGAATTGCGACGTATTGGACTGCAAGATCAGCAATTATTAAATTATAAAAACACTATGTAAAAATCAATATTTTCAGTCTGATTTGTAGTTTAGTCTGATTTATAATTTAGTCTGATTTAATTTATTGTTGTTGCTACTAAAATCTTTGTAAGTCGAAAATAAAAGTTTTATTTGTGAAGTTCAGTTTTTAAAAAAGTGTTTTTTCCCAAGAACATTCATAATTGGCGCAGAGTCAGTACGGAAGTGGAAGAGTCTTTATAGATCCTCGTCACTTTTAAGTGTTTGTCCACTGTTCCAAGAACCAGCCCCAGGGAAACCGTCTGCAGAGTTCACCCGAGGGAATTAGAAGTTAGAAGCCTTCAGGAGGAAAGAAATGCACATCGGCATCGTCTTTATCCTGTAAGCGATTTTTATTACTAATTAGAATTAAGAAGATTAAATTTTGAAAGAATTTTTATAAAATCAGACTCCTCTGAGTCCTTAGATTGAATCAGAGCTAGATTAGAAGATAAATTAAACAAAGATTTGAATATATTAACAGAAAGATTAAAATAATTTAAAAATATCTCCTCTAAGTCCTTAGATTGACTTTAGAGCCAGATTCAGAAACTTTAAAATTTAAAGACAAATTTGAATAGCTTAATAAATTCTATATTAATAAACACAGAGATTTAATAGATAGAAAATAAGTAGATTAAGATATATTTATTTATATATATTCTCTATTGAAAATTACTATACTGATTTGACTATTGACTATACATTATATTGAATATTTCAAAATATGGCAGTTCCACAATTTGACGTTAAAAATTTATGTATTCTTCCAAATTTTGACGGAAATCCAAATGAATTACATGAATTTATCAAAGTTTCTACAATACTTCTAAACCATTATTATGATAGACTTAATGCAGCGAACATCCAAAACAAATTTTTGCTTCATGGTATTATGAGTAAATTACCAGGTAGAGCAAAAGAAGTTATATCTGTATATGGATGTGAAAGTTGGGACGAAATAAAAAACGCATTAATTCAAAATTTTGGAGACCAGAGAGACGAAAATTCGCTTACAAGGGACCTAGTAAATTTAAGACAAGGCTCAACAGAATCTATTTTGCATTTTTACGAAAAGATCATGGGACTTTTAAGCTGTATTAATAATTACCTAGAATTACATACCATAAATGCCGATATTAAGAGGAGCAAACAAGAATTTTTCCGTCAACAAGCTCTTACAACATTCTTAGCAGGCCTACGAGAACCAATGGGCTCTGTTATCAGAGCAATGAGACCAGGAAGTTTAGCCACGGCAATACAATACGTACAGGAAGAAAATAACGTTCGTTACCTTCAAAAAAATCAATTAAGTCAACCTTCAACATCAGGAAGAAGCGAAAATTATCAAGAACGCCGACCTCAGAGACGACAGATGCCTGTACCTATCCAGAAACCATTGTATCAACAGCCAAATTTTGCAGCTCCGCAATGGCAGCAACCAACGAGACAATTCTATCCGCAGAATCAGTTCCAGCAACCACATCGGCAACAAAACTTCAACCAATTTAGACAAAATTCGAACCAGTCAAATGTATGGGCACCTAAAAATGGACAGTCAAAGCAGCCTAGACCAACACCTATGAGTGGAATATCAGAAACCACAACCAGAGGCCGTCAAAATTTCACACCCAATTATCGAGCACAGCCAAAATTCACCGTAGAAGAACTTTACAATATACAATGCCATGGAGATGAGCAAGAAGATAATTCCAACTACAATGATTACTACGAACCTGAATATGACAATTTCCTACAAGATACATACGAAAACCAACCAACCGAATATGAAGAAAACGTAAATTTTCGAGAGGACCCACCAGAAGCAATCGGAACGTAATTGAACTCCATTCATTTCCCGACAAAAAGGAGCTACCTTACATCGAAATTTCTAAACCTTCCTTACGGCTTTTAATCGATACAGGATCCACAAAGTCATTTCTCAATCCAGAAATAGCTTCTTCATATTTTCCAAGTTACATAAAACATGAACCCTTTGTCGTCACATCAATTTTCCAAAATTATTCCCAAAAATATTGTGCCGAAATTCCTTCATTTTCAGAATTCAATTCTGACAGCAAAATGAAATTTTATCTCTTTAAGTTTCACAAAACTTTTGATGGTCTTATTGGCCTCGACAATCTAAAACTCTTCGAAGCCCAATTAAACTTTCCCAAGTCGCTTCTAGTTACAAAAGATTCTACAATCCCAATTAAATATTACGAAACAAATAAAACA